AACCTTTCCCAATCCTTCTTAACTCTGGTGCCTTCCCCCACCAATTCTCTCCAATTCATCCTGTCTAGAGCTTGTGTGTACATACATAGTTGTTTACATGCTGTCTCCTGCATTAGAACGTAAGCTCCTGGAGGTCAAGGAGTTTTTTGTCTTTCGTTGTATCCTCAGAGCCTAGCACAGTGCCTGGCACACAGTAGGCATGTAATAAGTGCTAGTTGACTGACTAAACGTTAAAGTGTCTGCTAATACTGTTATTGTTATATATTATCGTATATGTAGTTATATATATATATAGTTACATTCTAATTTTCTGAGTTTGTGTCTTATCTTCTTATAACTAGAAAGCTGCAAGAGGGCAGTGATCATATGGAGCCCTCGTCCACTGTACCCTGCCCCTCTCCATGGAAGATGGTGACTTCCCAATCAATCCATTCCCCCTCGGTTTGAGTCCTACCTTCGACATTTACTCATTCTGACCTGGGATAAGTTGCTTCCTTTCTTCCCTTCTCAGTCTCCCACTCTTTAAAATGGGGCTCATTAGCCTTCTACCATCTGTCCCCTCCTGCAGGGAAGTACTTTGTAGACCTTCAAGGACTGGAGAAATGGGAGAGATCCTGGCATTTCAATGACAGAAACAGATGGTTTGGCCAAGGTTGCCAGGGAGACCTCCCTGAGGCCTGGAATGTAGGGGACGACCCCCCTAGAGTTGGGCTGAAATCAGAAACCCACCGCCTCCAACTGAACTCAGCCGGGCCTTACTGAGCCTCTGTTTAAGGTTTGGGGTGGGGGAGGCCTGGATCAGCCCAGGACCGGAGGGGAGGGAGCACCGGCACCCCTTACACCAAGGAGAAGAGGAGTCTTCCTCCGTGGGGAGTGGGGGAGGGCGCCAGGCCAGGTGCCCCAGGCAGGGCCGAGGCATCTGGATGGGCACGCTGCCAAGAATCCCAGGAATGTGTCTCTGCTGCGTCCTCCCCTTCACTCTTCCTCCCTCCAGCCCCCCCTTCCCCTCCATGCTCCTCCCAGCCCAGGAGAGGACAGGATATTCCCAATACAAAGTGACCCAAGTCCATCCTAGTTATGGGAAAACTGAGTAGTGGTGGAGGGGGATGGGCACAGCCACGGACCCCTCCAGAGTGTCAGGGAGTCTCTCTGTATGGGGGGTGGTGAGAGGAAGCTGGTGACTTCTCCCCTACCCCCATCAGGGTACTTCTATGATACTGACCCAGTGAGAGCGGAAGGGACCATATTGCTGCGGCTGGCTGGCATCCGGATGAGAAGCGAACCCTTCCCAGAATGTTGGAGTCCTTCAATACTAGCATCGTAATTTCCTAGAATTTCAGAGTCATAAAATCTTAGATTCATGCCAGCTCAGTATTGTAGAATCACAGAATTTTAAAATATCAAAGTTAGACCATTTTTAGAGGTGGAAGAAACCTTACAGGAAAGTTGTCCTCCCGCCTGGGGTAAGAATCGTCTCCACATAATCCCTGAGGCTTGGTCAACCAGATCCTGCTTGAATACCTCTCCTGATGGGGAGCTCTCCTCCTTATAAGACAATGTAGTGGATAAGCTCTATTTTCGTCCTTCCATTGAGCTGAGGCCTTCCAACACATAACTTGTGATTGGTTTGCAAGGGTATAGGTGAGGAAGGGAACCTAAGTGTAATGTCCTATTTGAATTAAGGATGAGCCAAAGGCAGGGTCCATCTTCCTGGCTGGCAGAGAGGACGGCCACCTCCTCAGTGAAATGAGGGACACCCCACCTTCTTCAAAGTTTCTCCCCATTGCTTACATGTGTAACGCCATCCTCCCTTCTTTCCTAGCCTGAGATCCCCTCACTCAAGAGTCACTCATGGGGGTTCAGCAGCAAAAGTAAGGACGTTGTCTCCAGAAGGCCCCAGTGAAAGTGGATGGCCCACTCAGTGAAGAGCCCCTCTAGCCCTCTTCCAGGAATGTAGGTGAGTTATTAGGTGAGCTCATTATTTTTTCAGGAGGCTGAAAGAGTCTAGCCCAGGGTGAGGATGGTAGTGAGGTCATGGGGTTTGGGAGGCAGGGAAATGGTGCTGAAGCCAGGCAGGAAGGAGGCCAGAGTCCAGTTATTACCGCTGTGAGGGGAGTTACCTAGCCATACTCCCCCAACCTTTTCCCTAAACCAGGGGTGAAGTTTGGATTCAGTCAAAAGGCCACACTTGAGGACCTAGAAGGCCACATGTGGCCTCGAAGCCTAGAGAGAAGGGGTGGAGAGTATTTCTGCTCTCTGTGGGGTCAGGAATGAAGACCCTCCATCCTGGAGCGGGAGGGCAGCATCTGGGAAGAGCCATCCCAACCCTTGGGATTTGGTCACCTGTGGACTTCAGGCCCTAGGGCTTTGGGGGGACTTAGGGGGACAGAACCAAGGATTTGCCAGCTTGCACCTTGGCTCCGGGCCCTGATGAGGCAGGGGGAGGCCCCTCCAGGGTGAAGAGCCCCAGACAGGTCCCCCTTAGCACAAACTCAGCCTGTTTGAGTGGGTTTGGGCCTGATTTTCCTCCCTGGCCGGGGAATCCTGCTTTTAGCATGTACGACACTGAGCTGACTGCAGAGCTGAGGTCCTGCCTTCAAGGCGGTCCCAGAGTCAGAGGCACAATTAGGAATTTCTGTGCCTGGTGCACAGACACAAAGGGCACCCTCATTGAGACACCCCTGACAGGCCACGAGGTGGCTACCGAGGAGGGAGGGAGCTTGGGAGAACCTCTAATTCCAGTGTACCACCTGGCAGCTTCCTGTTTGAATTATCCTTCCTGAGTGTTAAGTTCTGTTGTTTTTAGCTTCTGAAAGGACGGGAGTGATGTCAGCACCCTCTAAATTTCAGTGCCCCAGGGACGAGTCTGAGTCACCCTGTCCTCTTACAGTTCTGCAAAGAGAAGCCACACCTGGCCTTAAGAAGCCTCAGGTTTGAGGAGGGAGACCAGCCTCTGTGCTTGGGGAGTTCCTGGTTTGAGGGGAAAAGGCATCCAGGCAAACAGTGCAGAGTGTGGGTTCTGGGGGCGTGGGGGGAATGAGCCATCCATCATGCCCAAGGTCTCCGGGCAGTGACAAAAGGTCACCACTGCCTGCTCCCAGACTCCAGGCCTCTCAGCGTCTGGCTCCAGTGGGTCCTTGTTCCCCGAAGCATGCGTCCCCAGGAGTTCAGCCTCCCGGGGTCCCAGGGGTCCAAGGGTCAGGTAAACAGGATCTTGGGATCGTTCAGTGACCTTGTTTACCTCCCTGAAAGAATGTGATTGGAATTTTTTTTCCCTCTCAACTGGCTGGTGAGTCACCTCTCAGATATGCAGGAGCATTTCCACTCTGGGGCTGGCCCCTCAGTCTGCCCCCCGGTCCCCCCTTCCCCTTACACCATCCTCCAGGCCTGTGCTCTTCAGGTCTCTGGCCTTTTCTTTGTCAGTGCCCGGTCAAGGCCATCCCAGAGCTGGGGGCCCCCCCTTCCTGGTGATGTAAGCCCCTCCTCCCCCAGCCCGGCCTCGGGTCGGACCCAGGGCTGTGTTGTTGCCACGGCGATTGTCTCCACACAGGAAGCGAGGCCTAGTGACCAGGCCTTCTCTGCTTCGGTCCAAACACAGGAAGCGGCCCGAAGTGGCCACCAGGCGGGCAGCATTGTCAGCCAAGGAAACCAAACAGAACAAAAAGACTTAATGAGAACAATTAGCCCAAAGAGAGAGGAAAAAAAAAAACGCCAAAATACCAAAGGCAGAGAGTTCCAAGCCAGCCCAGCCTGGACCCAGGCCAGAGAGCCGTGTTTTTGCCTCCAACACAATACACATTCAATCACATTTCCTCCGAACCCGGAGGCTCCAGGGGCTGTGGGATCTTTGTGAGTCCCCCCCCTCCTTTGGCTCCTCCTAGCAGCTGGGCTCCCCCAAACAGGGGAGGCCATAAGCTGTCCCCCAAGCCTTTCTCCGCTCTCCCTCCCAGCGTGGCCTGCCAGGACCCTGCCCCAGTCTGAGCCTCCTCTGACCCAAGGCCCCTTGCCCAGAGAGCCTGGGCTGCTGAAAGGAAAGGGGGTGCCCAGCCATGCCCTTTGGGGTGACCTGTCTATGGTTCTGCATGTGGTGTCTTCTCTGCCAGGCAGTAAACTCCCTGAGGGCAGGCCCTATTCCATTATTCCCATTCTAACCCCAGAATTTCATTCTTTTTCAGCCTAAACCTGGGACTTGGGTTTAGAGAACTCCCTTTACCAATGCAGATCAGCACCTGCCCCTTTGATTGAGGGCCTCCAGCTACTGCCTGGGTCTTCTTGACTCAGAGGTTGGCTGTGCCACACTTTAGGCCTGTCATAAATGCGTGTCGATGGATGACTTGGTGTTTTTGAGGTGACGAGAAGGTGCTGTTGCCCATTATATGGTCTAGGATTAATAACACTGGCTTGGACTTGGATGGCCCGAGTTCAAATCCTGACTCCGGCATTTACTGACTGTGTGGCCTTTGAAAATCACTTCCCCTCCCTGGGCTTTGGCTTCCTGCTCTGTACAAGGAGGGGGCTGGGCTACAAGGACTGTGAGGCTCCTTCCGGCTCTAGAGCTATGACCCATTTCCCTGTTTTCCTTTGATGGGGGCAGGGGAGGGGGAAGGGGGCTCTGTTCTCAGTCTAATGGAAAAAGAACAAGATTTGGAATCCAAATTCTAATCCTAGCTCTGGGACTTCTGCATTGTGGGACCCTGGATGGCTTACTTCCCCTCTCTGGACCTCAGTTTCCTCCTCTGTAAAATGAGAGGACTTGATGCCCCCTTCCCACTCAAGATCTATGATCCTGCAATCCTAATCCCACTCTTAGACAATTAGGCATGTTACTTAAGCACTATTTGCCTCAGTTTCCCTATCTGTAAAATGGGATAATAATAATAATAGCACCTTGCTTCCATAGTTGTGAGGATAAGATGAGGGAATCTGCTTTGCAAACCTTAAAATGCTATAGAAATGCTGGTTGTTTTTTGTTGTTATTTCCGTTCCAAGGCCCATGGAAAACATGAGGCTCCCCCTCTTGGGAAGAGATACAAGCCGGGCCCAGGGACTGAGCTGTATAACAAGGGTGGGGTAAGTAGGGCTTTCCCCTAGGGCGCTATCACTCATAGCTTAGTACTGAAACAAATGAGCCGCTTAGCAAGAATTAGTTAAAACAGGGAGCTGCCAGCCCCCACCCCCCATGAGCCTCCCCCTTGTTCATGCTCATTTTTCCTCAGCTGCCATGTTGCCTTCTGGGTCTCTTTCTCTTTCCCTCCTTCCCAATTAAGTTTGTCTTTCGAAGTTGATTTGGAGGACTTGGGGGGAGGGCAGGAAGAGTTTTCTGCCTCTAGGGGTAAAAGGGGCTCGTTCCATCTCATCTCTTCCTGGGGAGGTTTGTGCCAGGATCCAGGCAGCATGCAGCCTTACTGCCCAGTCTGGGCCTGAGTGACTTTTTTTCATCTGTGCTTCTAATTGCTGCCTTCCCACTGTCCCTGCCCCATGTGTTATTTCTGAATCTGTACCTTCTTTTTTACCTTGTAAAAAAAAAAACCAAACAAACCTACAATGTGCTTTTGTGGGTTAGAGCACAGGGAGACAGAGGACAGAAGGGAAAATGGGAAATGGATGTCAGGATTAGGCACCCAGATAGAGTGGAAGAAGAAGGGAAGGCAGGTGAATAGTGACTGGCTGGGCTGCTTTTCCCCCAACCCAAGGAATTATATAGATTCAGAATAGGAGGAGCCAGGTCAGGGATGAGAGGTGGGGGGAGTGGGGCTGATGATTCAGTGATGAAAGAAAGAAAGGAAGGAAGGAAGAAAGAGAGAGAGAGAGAGAGAGAGAGAGAGAGAGAGAGAGAGAGAGAGAGAGAGAGAGAGAGAGAGAGAGAGAGAGAGAGAGAGAGAGAGAGAAAGAAAGAAAGAGAGAAAGAGAGAGAAAGAGAGAAAGAGAGAAAGAGAGAAAGAAAGAAAGAAAGAAAGAAAGAAAGAAAAAGAAAGAAAGAAAGAAAGAAAGAAAGAAAGAAAGAAAGAAAGAAAGAAAGAAAGAAAGAAAGATAGATAATCCAGGCCATTTCCAAGTAGCAGAACTAGTGGTTGGGGTCAGTCAGCTACCTCTGCTGGGCAGAAATTTGGGCCAAGGCTCAAATCCTATAGATCCTTCACAGAGTCAAAATGAACCCTAAATATGTGCCCACAGAAAATTAGAGGTCCACTATTTGCTATTTTTTTCTTCTGTTGTGTTTTGTTTCCTCTTTCTGGTGGTTCCTCCTGTTGGTTCTAATTCTCACTTACAACTTCACTAATGTGAAAATATGTTTAATAGGAATGTAAATGTAAAGCCTATATCAGATTGTGAGCTGTCTTGGGAAGGGTGGTGGGGAGGGAGGGAAAGAAAAATTTTAAACTCAAAAGCATATGGAAGTGATTGTTGATAAATCAAAATAAACTAATTTTTAAAAAAAGAAAAAGAAAATTAGAGGTGAAAGGGAACCTAGAGGTATTCTAGTCCAACCCCATCATTTTATAGATGGGGAGACTGCCACCCAGAGGGGAAATGACTTGGCCAGGATCACACATCTCACTAGGGGCAGAACCTTTTTGCCAGAGACGGGACTTACCGTTTGGGCATCTGGGGCAAGACCCTCAATGCATGCAGTGGTGGTGATCGTCCCTTTGGCTTTGGGACCCAAGACTCCATGGGCAATGATACTGCCTGCCCCTACCCCCAAAAGCTGATGCTTGTTGACCCACTGTGTGTGTAGATGTAAGCAAAGGCACTGGAGAAGAAAGGAGGAAACTGGTCGTCCAGTATTTGAACTCTTCTCGCTAACTAAAGGCCAAATTCATGCCTGTGCCATGCTCCCTCCCCCCACCCTGTACCCCAGGATCCCCAGCTTCCTTTAGTGGTCAGCTCAAACATCACCTCCAACGTGGGACCCACCCTCTGTCCCATCAGCCCCTAGTCCCCCCCAAGACATCGTTTTTGATTTATTTTTAATTTGCTTACGTATGTCTAAGTTACTTCTACTGCTGACTTAGAGTGTTAAGAGTGTAAGCTCCTTGAGGTCAAGGAGTGCTTCATTTGTCTGTGTCCCCAGAACCAAGTAGTCCCTGGCACACAGTAGGTGCTTAATAAATAAATTCCTGATGATGTGAATTAAATTGGGTCAGGATCGGAGCCCAGGTTAATCCCTCCTCTGCTGCTTGCCATGGGCAAGCCCCTCACTCCTCTGGGCCTCTGTTTCCTCCTCTGTCAGATGAGGGGATTGGCCTCGGTGATCACTACCAACCCTACCAGCTTGGACATTCAGGACCAGGTGGGCTGTTTGTCAAACTGAGTCGATGATTTATCTCCCAGTTCTGGGTCCAAAGCTCTCTGTACTCACACCCCAGCCTCTCTGCCTGGCCCTCATGTTGCTAAAGAGTCCTTTGTCTACGGCCAGAGTCTGGACCCTGGACCCTCCTGCCTCCTGGACCCGAGGGTTTGGGGATGAGCCAGGGTCACTGAAGGGACACATGAGATAAAGCATGATGGGGTGGGGAGCTGGTGTGAGAATCTGCTATCTCCCTTAGCAACTGGGGGATTCCCCATCCTTCCCCCCACCTTGACCCCTCTCCCCGGCCACCAGCTGGTCCCATGCCTCAGACGGTCCTTCCAGCTGAGGAATCTAGTCCCAGCTGGGACAGACAATGACCTACTGTCTGCCAGGCCAGGCCTCCCAATCCCCCCAGAGCCTGGAGAGCGGCCTGGGCTACCTACCAGGGATGGAAAGTCCTGATCCCGGATCTGCTTGTGTGTCCCTGGTGGGGGGATGTTGGAAACAGATATTTCACTGTCTGCGGCTGCGGCTGCTTCTGCTGCCCAACTGGCGTGGGCTTGGATTACCAGCTGAGCAGGAGGAGAGAGGACATTCCGGGCCCCTGCTTCCATTTCAGCAAGTCCCCCTAGCCCAGCCCCTCCCCTGGTGAACAGCATTCTCCGTACAGGAGCATGGGCTGCACCCCATGCCTGCAATGCCCTCTCTCCTCACCTCTGCCTCTTAACATCAACCCCTGCATGAAGGTGGCCCTCTCCTGACCCTCCTCCCCTGACCGCTTGCACCTTCCCACTCCCCCATAGTAATTTGTACATAGTTTCTATTCACTTTTCTGTGCCTATGTTCTTCCAAATGGAATGTATGATCTTTAAAGGCAGGTACTGTTTACTCCCTATGAGAGGCAACAGACAGACAGCCTGGCTCAAGGCCAGGAAGTCCTGGGTTCAAGCCTAGTCTCAAAAACATCTGGGCTGTGTGACCCTGGGCAAGTCACTTAACTTTTCAGTGGTCCAGGCAACCCTCTGAGACCACAGAGAAGGTGCTCACCTGAAGAGTTTCCTCTCTCAGGAGTTCCTTAGGTCAGTGAAATTACAGTTCTAGTCATTATCTTAAACCTGTGTTTCTCTAGTGTGTAGAGACACTGGTATGTTGTAGGTGTTTAATGAATACTCACAGAATAAATGAAGAATAAAGAATGAATGATGAAATGTTAAAAATAAATAATAAACAAGGAAAAAGGGAAAAATGAATGAAGAATGATGAAATGTTAAAAACAAATAAATGACAAATTGAAAAATAAAAAGGAAAAATGAATGATGAAGAATGAATGAATGATGAAGAGTTAAAAATAAATAAATAAAGGGCAGCTAGGTGGCACAGTGGATAGAATACTGGCCCTGGAGTCAGGAGGACCTGAGTTCAAATCTGGTCTCAGACCAGATGCTTGACACTTACTTGCTGTGTGACCCTGGACAAGTCACTTAACCCCAATTGCCTTGCCATAAATAAATAAATAAACAAACAAACAAATAAATAAAGAATTAAAAAAATGAAAAAGGGAAAGTGATGAATGACGAATGATGAATGAATGAATGAATATAAAAATAAAGTGTTTACTAAAGAGAAGGGTGGTACCCTCCATCCCTAGCCCATCCCTGTTCTCCTCCCTCTGCATTACACTAGCCTCACCTATCTGTGATGGTTGCCCCCTGTGGCCTGTTTAGTCAAACACTTAGGGTCATACATATGCCTAGATGTGCATCTACTTTCAGCCAATCACAGTATATTTCAGGTATCATCAGTTCTTAGCCAATGGACTGAAAGCACTTCACTCCTCCTAAAGTGAATTAGAACTTATCTGCCGGTAGTTTATGCCTTTGATTAATTAATTGATTCAGGTGTCTAGATCTTATTTATCCCTGGATAATTCCTTGGATTGATTCTGTAACTTAATTAAAGAAACTTTATCTTGCCTGACAAAGGCACTGAGATACAGATCATCTTGTTGGTTACATTAATTGGGGTCAAGGGGTGTGGAAGATCCCTCTCACATAAGGAAACTGAGGCCCAGAGAGGAGAAATAAGAATCACTGTAATCAGATACGATACAAACCGAGTGGCACCTGAAGTCCATCACGAACTGAAGATCCGAGAAGGCTTCATGGACAAGATGCTTTCAAGCTGGATGGGTAGGATAGGTTCTGGAGGTGGGGAAGAGAAAAGAGCATTCTTGGTGTGGGAAACATGTGATTACAGGCATAGGACCTGGACAGCGTAAGAGAGGACTTTCAAAGCATTTGGGGGTGGAAGGAACCTTAAAGACCGTCTCACCCAATCCCATTTTATGGATGGGAAGCAGAGGCTCGGAGAGATTAAGTGACTGGCCCAAGGTCACAGAGGCAGAAGCCCTAGCTCCTGGGCTAAGGCTTTTTCCATTACACCACACTGGTGGCCATCGTGCATGGTTTCCTACTCAGCCCTGCTCTACTCCACACCCCAATTATTCTCCTGCTGCTGCCGGAGATCTGGAGACTTTGGCCCCTTGGGAGAATCCTAGGGTGGGAGCCCGTAAACCCTTCTTGACATTGGGAGTAGGTGCCTGTCTGGCAAATCCAGAAACAATGAGTACCCATCCATTCAAGTGATCCACTCATTTAATAAGTATTTAACAAGCAGCCTAGAACTGGGCATTAGGGATACAGAGAGGAGTGAAACAGGCGTTACCCTCAAAGTGCTTACAGTCTACTGGGGAAAACAAGGTACAAACAGAAATCAATTCAAACTATGTACAAAGTGATTTCCTGGGAAGAGAGATTGGCAACTGGGGAGATTAGCGGAGGCCTCCCTGCCACCAGTGATGCTTGAGCTGAGTTTGGAAAGAAATGCAGGATTCTCAGTGGAGGAGGTGAGGCCTAAGGACATGCCCAGCATGGGGGCAGGGAAGATGACATAGCATGGAAAACAGCAAATACAGATGGTGTGGTAGGTAGAGTGCTGGGGTCGGGGTCAGGAAGACCAGAGTTCAAATTCTGCCTCAGATACTTATTAGAGAAGTGACCCTGAGCAAGTCACTTCCCTCTACCTCAGTTTCTTTATCATTTCAGTAAACATTAAGCTCCTGGTATGTTCCAGACAATTCAATTCAATAAACCTTTATCAAGCACCTATTATGTGCCAGGCAATTCGATTCAACAAACATTTAGTAAGTACTTACTATGTACTGGGAAATTCAATAAACATTTATTAAACTCCTACTATGTGTCAGGCAATTCAATAAACCTTTATTAAGTGCCTACTATGTACCAGGTAATCTGATTCAAAAAACATTTAGTAAGCACTTATTATGTACTGGGAAATTCAAGAAACCTTTATTAAGCTCCCACTATGTGCCAGGCACTGTGCTTTGTGCTGTTTCCTTACCTGTTCACTGAGGAGCTTGGACATACTGGCCTCCAAGGCCCCTTTTTGTTTTAAATCCATGGCCCTCTGGTAAGTGGATCACTTTGGCTGGACCACAGAGTGTGTGCAGAATTCTATGCAGGGGAACATTGGCTTTCATTGTTAACCTGTCAGTGTGAACACTTCCACCACTGAAATCAAAACCGCTCCAAATCAGGGCTTGATCTATTGTTTGTTGATTTCTAGACTCAAGAAAGTCGACGGGGAAAATGTGAAGAATTCAAATGCACACATTTCTTCCTCCTGGTGAGCTGATTGTTAAATGTTTCCCAGCACTGGTAATACATGACCAATCTGTAAAAGTTGGCTGGAGCCAGGTTGCAAAGGCCTCTAAATGCCTGTCAGAGCCGATCGGGAGTGTCCAGAGCTTTATGGTCAGACCTGTGCTTGAGTGATATCACCTGCCCTTCAGTGTAGGAATGGCTGGGCCAGTCGTGATGTGGGAATGAAATGGCATCTTGGGAAGATAGAAACCATGGAGCCTGGGAAGATGCAGAGGGAAGAAAGGGGAGGCAAGGGAGAATACCGGCTCCAAAGGAAGAAGAAAGAGAGGAGGGGAGTCACAGAGGCAGGCGGGCCCATGGCAATGGTGAAGAGCAATGCCAACCCTCCCTGTGCCAACCCTCCTCCCCCCAGCCCATCAGAGGCCCCTATTCCATTTCAGTCCCCAGAGACTTCTCTGTCTCTGTCTTTGTCTCTCTCTGTCTCTCTTTCTCTTTCTCTGTCTCTCTGTGTCTCTCTGTGTCTTTCTCTCTCTGTCTGTCTCTGTCTCTGTCTCTCTCTCTGTTTCTGTCTTTCTGTCTCTGTCTCTCTCTCTGCCTCTCTCTCTCCTCTCCACTTCTGAGCCCTTCCATCACTTTCCATTGGGTTACCCTGTTTCTCCAGGTTTCTCCTTGGCCTTTGGGAGGGCTTTCCCCCACTCCAGCAAGGTCAAGCTTCTAGAGTCTCCGGGTAGCTTTCCTTCCCTGTTGTTCCCAGCCCACCTGGACCTCTCTTCTCTGACCTCCTCCAGCAAGGACTGGTTTCCAACATGACACCTCATCACTGATCGTCTGAACAAAATCACCAGAGGTCATTGGTGCTGGTGAATAAGAATTGCCAGAGTTTCTGAAGCCCCCTTAAGGTTTGCAAAGTACTTCCTGTCCAGCTTTTCATTTGATTTTCCCAGCAACCTCATGAGGTGAGTGTCCAAGGCGCTGTGATCATCCTCCCCATTTCTACAAATGAGAATCTGAAGTCAGAGGGGGTTCAGGTCACACAGGGTGTAGAGGTGGTGTTAGGACCCAGGCTTCCTCACTTTGTCTCCCCTACAGTAATGGAGCTTTTGCATTTGTGTGTGTGTATGTCTGTATGTGTGTATATGTGTATGTGTCTGTATGTGTGTATGTGTGTGGGTATGTATATGTGTGTATATTTATGTGTGTGTGTGTGTGTGTCTATGTCTGTACCTATAAGTGTGTATGTATCGGCATGTATGTGGGGGTGTGGGGGTGTATGTGCGTGTATATGTGTGTTTTTGTGTATGTGTTTATGTGTGGGGGGTGTGTGCATGTTTATGTGAGTGTGTGTGTGTGTGTGTGTGTGTATGTGTTCACCTCCTCGTTTCTCAAGGACAAGAGTCTGACATTGCCTTGCTCCTCTCCCCGTGGCCACAGTACCACCACCAAGTGACTGCCCAGTCGGTGCCCACTTGTAATTTGGGGAATCGAATACTTCCAGGGTGGGGGTGTTGCCTGGAGCCGGGCCGCATGTGGGAGAATGCTTTGGTGTTGACTTTCTCTGGTAACTTGACCTTTCTCCTCCCTCTGGAGATGAAACCAAGAGGCGAGGGTCATGGGAACTGGCCGGCTTCACTGGCTAGGAAGGGAGAGGCTGCCACCTGGTTAGGGAGGGAGCTGGGGTGGATTTCCCCAAGTTCAAGTTTCCTTTGCCTGATTCCTGCTCTCTCCTTTGGCCTGAGATGTGGGGTTTGTCTCCAGCCAAAGTCAGCCCTTCCCATTTCTCCACATTAGAGGCATAAGCAGATAAAGGACTGGATGAAGAATCAGGAAGACCTAGGCTCAAATTCCATCTCAGACATTTACCAGCTGTGTGACCCTGGTCAGGTCACTTTACTTTTCCCAGCCTCAGTTTCCCTCATGTGTATAATAACATGATTTGTGTTGTCCTTGTTATTGATACGGTCAATTATAATGATAGTTTTCCTAGCATTGAACCAGCCCGGCATGCCTGGCATAAACCCCACTTGATCACAGTGTATGGTCTTTCCTCATACGTAAAATGGGGGTTGGATTCTATGGACCCTTCCAGTTCTAAATAGAAAATTCTGATTGTAAAGGGCATAGTGGTTAGAGAAGTGGACTCAAAGTCAGGAAGCTCCTGGTTCAAATCTCACCTCTGATGCTAGCTGAGTGAACTTGACTTTTCCCTCTGTAAAATAGTGTCTACGGTACCTAGCTCACAGGCTTGGAGCAGGGCTCAGATGGGATGAGGCCCATGAGGGCTTGGTTTACTTTGAATGTGGCTCTTATTATCACAGTATCTGTGCCCAAAAGGAGCCTTAGATGACAAGAAATCTAACCCCTTCCTTTTTATAGAGGAGAAAATTGAAGGCCAGAGGAGGGAGGTCCCATAGGTAATGGGAAGCAGGACCAGAGCTGGAGAATTCCCCCCAGAAGATGCTCTCTGACGTCAAGAATGAGAGGCGGCCTGATTGGCTAGAGAGCTGCCCTGGGGTAGGGAAGAGCTCGGTTCAAATCTTGCCTCCACTCCTTACTGGTTGTGTGACCTTGGATAAATTACTTAACCTTTCAGTGTCCCTGGAAACTCTCTAAGAATGGGCGGAGGGAGTTCCTCGAGGGGCATTCTAAGGCTGTGAAATCACTTGCATTTTGATGGGAGCCGTCTGGGGACATACTACCTTAACCGAAAAGGATGCCTGCAGCGGCGGAAATTTGGGGGACCATGACAGGCTGGAGAGAGAAGTATTTGGAGCCGTCCACATCCGTCAGAGCATGTGAGGTTCACAGTACATCTGAGCTGGACAGGTTGTCAGAGGCCATACGGGCCAGCCTATTACTGAACAGGAATTACCTACAATACCCTGGGGCTCATCCATCTTCTGGCTGAAACCCTCCCCTTCCCCCAGGCAGGAGGAGGAGACATGAGATCCTGGCCCTCCCATTAGAGCTGGAGAGCCAAGACTCGAACCCGTGAGACACAACCTCCACCTTCATTGTGTTCAGGTATTCACTCGTGTCCCACTTGTCGTGACTCAGTGGCCCATAGTGTCCATGGGGTTTTCTAGGCAAACATACTGGAGTGGTTGGCCATTTCCTTCTCTAGCTCATCAAGGCAAACAGAGGTAGAGTGGCTTGCCCAGGGGCACACAGCTAGTGAGTGTCTGAGGTCACATATGAACTCGGGTCTCCCAGCCTTCAGGCCCAGAGCTCTATCCACTGAGTCATCTAGCTGCCGCCAACCTCGATCTTAGGAGGTCTTAATAACCAGAGCCGTAGAGGACCAGAGGATAGCTACGAGATGGGGGAATCAGGGAAGGCTTCCTGGAGGTGCCCAGGCTTGGGGGTGAGCCTTGAACGAATGGCAGAAGTCCCGTGGCTTGTTGTAGAAGGAATTCGGCTAGCCTCTGAGATCCCTGGGGTTGGAAAGCAAACAGCTGGAGGGGTGGGAGTGGGTGGGGGCAGGGAGGAGGACAGGCTGCAGCTGCGGGCAGCTGTTAGTTATGTCTGCTGTTTAGACAGCGGGAACAAATGACCAAGATTGACTGACTGCTTACTGTGCCAGGCACTGTGCTAAGAACTGGAGCTCCCTGCTTTCAAGGGGCTTCTAGTCGAATGGAGGAGCCACCGAGCAGCTGGGTCCAGGCTGGGTCCCACAACAAGGGGCATTGAAGCTGACTGTTGAAAGAGGCTGGTGAAGGAAAAGGCAGAGATGAGGAGCCAGCGGATCCCGGGCACAGGAGATAATGAGGCCAAAGGCGAGGAGATGGACTGAGTTAGGGAACCTCACTTAGGCCAGTGTGGCCTGACTGCAGAGGGCTTGGAGAGAAGAGAGAAGGATGGAAAGCCGGGGAGGGGCCAGATTGTTGGAGGGCTTTAAACGACAGGACCTGGGTTATATTTGGTCCTGAAGATACTAGGGAGCCACTAATGCTTACTGGGGGAGGGAGTGACAAGTCAGACCGAGGATGGATTAGGGTGGGAAGAGACTTGGGGCAGAATTCCAAATAGGGGGTTTGTTATGGTTGTTTACCACCAGAGAGAGGTGGTGAGGGTGAGCATGGAAAGAAGATGGGTGTAGTAGAAAGGCAGCCTCAGAATCGGAAGACCTGGGTTCAAATTCCGCCTCTGACATATCTTGGCTGGCTGACCCTGGGCAAGTCATTTGGTTTCTCTAATGGGGGAGACAAGCTGTAAATTATGAGGTGCGTGTGAGAGCCATACAGAGCAGGTGGAAGGAAGCCTTGGAAGGGTGGAGGACCAAGAGAAGATTCCTGAAGAAGAGAGAATTGGAGTTGAGCTTGGAAGGAAGCCACGGATTTTGAGAGGCAGAGGTGGCTAGCTGGGATGGAAGGAATCGGATTGGAGCTCTGTGGGCCACAGCTTTGCCCTCTGGACAATAATAGAATGGGAGGAGAAGGGCTTTTAGGTCCAGCTCAGCTAAATTCCCCTGGTTCGAAGGTCCCGCCTAATCCTGACATTCTACGTGCCAAATTCCATCTCCACCTCTGACAGTCTAAGATCCATCTCAGCCCTGACATTCTGGGTTCTAAGCTCCCTTCGGATGCTGACGCTGTTCTAAGGTCCTTCTCAGCTCTGACATTTCATTCTATTCTCAGCCCTGGGCCTGACCCCTCTCTGGGGTGACTCATCAGGCCTGGGATCTCACAGGAGGGGCTCAGGCTGAGGCTGCCCCTTCAGGCAGGGGGGCAGGGTGGAGGCCTCTAGGCAACAGAAGGGGAGCCCTGGACCCAAGCCAAGGGATGAGTAGAAGGAGGAGGAGGAGGAGGAGGAGGAGGAGGGAGGCCAGGGCTAGGCTAGGAAGGGGGTAGGAGGGTGAGGCCTGAGCAGTCTGGCTGGGAAAATCAGCCTGGTCACCAGCAAGCCCAGAGAGCCCAGCTTCCCTGCCCCTCGTGTATACATGATACACACAGTGCATGACATACACAGTACACATTATAGCACAACACCGCCCCCCCAAACACACACACAATATTGGCTGCAGCTGGCGCTAAAGTTCTTTCCTTACAAATTACCAACCTTTGTGGGACTCAGTTTCTTACTCTGTAAAATGAGGGGGTTGGATGAGATGATCAATCAATCAGTCAACAAACATTTCCTGAGCACCTACTATGAGCTGGAGATACAGAGAAAAGCAAAACCCAGTCCCTGCTCTCGGGGAGTTTATAGTCTAGTGAAGGAAACAGCAGCCGTTCAGAGTAGACGGTAGGTAACTGTAGAGGGGATGGCATTTAACCTGAGAGGGGACAGCACTAGCAGCTGGGAGGACCAGGAAAGTTCTCCTGGAGGAGCTAGTGCCCGAGCTGAGTCTTGAAGGAAGCTGAGGTGATTGGGAGAGAAAAGATTCCTGGCATGAGGGACACGGCCAGTCATGGAGACCGGAGATGGAGGACAGTGCGTGAAGAGTAGTCAGTGCCTCAGAATGACTGCATTGTAGCATACTTGTGCCAGAGCAGAATGTAGGAACATTGGAAAGACAAGAAGGGACCAGGCTGTGAAGAGATTTAAATGCCCAACACAGGTCTATAGGGACCTGGAGGTTACAGGGAGCCATAGCACCTGCTTGAGGAAGGGGAGATGGCACAGTCAGATCAGTGCATCAGAAAGACTGATGTGGAGCAGCTTGACAGATGGACCTGAGGGGGTGGGGAAATCGAGCCAATAGCGGTGGTCCAGCCGTGAAACAATGAAGCCTGAATTAGCCTGGTGCTCTGAGCAGAGAGAAGGGGAGGCTGAAGAAGAGATGGCGAGATGGGGTGATGGATCGGACGTGGGCTGGGGGGAAGATGACCCCATGGTTGGAAGCCTGGGTGGTGGTGCCCTCCACAGTAAGCAGAAGAGCACGAGGGTTTGGGGGAAACGAGATTAAGTTCTCATGTGGACAGGTTGAGTTTGATATTTCTATGGGACGTTCGAGCTGGGATGCCCACAAGGCAGCTGGCAATTGGAGGCTAGTGCTCAGAAAACAGAGTGCTGTAGGTGTTCGGTCACATCTGACTTTTTGTGGGATTTTCTTGGCAGAGATCCTGGAGTGGTTGGCCATTTCCTTCTCCAGCTCATTTTACAGGTGAGGAAACAGAGGCAAACAGGGTTAAGTGACTTGCTCAGGCTCACACAGCTAGGAAGTGTCTAAGACTGGATTTGAACTCAGGTCTTCCTGATTCCAAGCCCCATACTTAACCACTGTGACACCCAGCTGCCCTGTCAGAGGCAGAACTTTAACTTAGACCTCTCTCCCCACACAACACTGGTTCTTTTTTTTTTTCTGAGCTCACTTGAGTTTTACTTCTGAATCTTTAAATCCTCTTGTCCCTTGTAGACCAGTCCCAGAAATGTATGGTCTTGAAGGTACAGAGCTGGGATAGGGAATAGAGAGGAAGGGAAAGAAGGAAGTGGGTGCTAGCTCTGGCCACACTGGAGAAACAAGGGAGCAGAAGGGGAAGTCCTTCAGGGACTGGGGTCAGCCAGAGCCATCACGAAATCACCTTGTCTCTGAGACCAACCCAGAAAGCCCAACCTGGACTCAGGCTAGAAGGCTGCTGCTGCTGGAGAGACCTCAAAGCAGGGGCAAAGCCAGTTAAGGGCTGGGAAGGAGCGCATCTGTGAGCCTGTCCCACAGCTGGGCCGGGAGAAGGAGACGCTTTCTGGTAGGTTCCTATTGGGCCTAATTATTCTTGCTAACCAGGTACAGCAGTTGCCAATTTTTGTTTCTATGTTTCTGGAGGACTACAAAGGTTATTTTCATCCTTGGAATCTGGTACTCTGGGGCTAAGCCCCTGTTGCCCCAACCTAGTTAATGTTGGGAGTAGAATAGAGTAGTGGAAGCCAAAATCAGGAGGTCCCAGGATCTAAAGTTAGGCAAAAGCCTAGAACTTAAGTCTGATGCCCACATGGGCCCACAGGCCCTCAGATCTACAGCTGGAAGAAACTTCAAAGGCTATCCTCTCGTTTTACAGATAAGGAGATTGAGGCCCAGGGAGATTCTACAATTTGCCCAGTTCCACACTGGGGCTGGAGCTGTTTCAGGGGTCAAGGAAGGTTCAAAAATAGTAAAATTGAATTTGATGTTTGGGTGGGAGTGGGGGACCTGGGAGCAAAGTGCATTGGAGAGCCGGTACCCCAGCAGCTGGGAAGCTGAGGCCTGAGGGCCTGGCCTACATCCTTCACAGCTGCTCGATCCAGCCTCACCGCAGCTACCCAGCCCACCCTTCTCCATAGCCCAGGCAGGTTCCCTAGCTCCAAGGAGAAGGGGCTGGCCCAGAAATTCAGCTTGGAGCTTGAGGCTCTTCTGTTGCTTCTAATTACCTTTCAGTTACTCAGGCCCCAGAACAGGACCATGGCCTTGAAAGGGGGAGGAAAAAGGAAGGAAAGGAGGAACCCCAGTCCGGGCCTGCCTCTGAGGGCCCCTAACCGCAGAACTGTCTGTGAAAGGAGGTTGTGTGCTGCGCTGGAAAGAATCTGGATGTGGAATCAGAGGAAATAGGGGTGAATCCCGGCCTTGCTGTTACCTGTGGGACCTTCTGAGCCTCAGTTTCCTCATCTGTAAAATTGGGGATTGGATGAGATGGCCTCTAAGGTCCTTTCCAGCTGTAAAACTCAGACTCCATGGTCCTGCAGACCCTCATGTGCTGCCCTAGCCTGAGCAAAGCCCCCGACTGTCCCAGGACAGAACTGAAGAGAGAGCCTGGGGCTTTCTACCTCCTCCCCTCTGGAGGGTGAAGGGGAAGAGATGAAGAAATTGACTGCTGGAATAGTGGCTGGGCAAACTGCCTGGGCAAGGGTCTAGTCTGAGCCCACACTAGCAGTAAGGAAACACAGTCTGGATTTGAACCTAGATCCTCAGAATCCAAGTCTAATGCTTTTTCTACTACTCCCAGATGCCCTCCAAAGTAATTCCCATCATACAACCCTTTATAGTGCCCAGAGGGGCAGCTAGGTGGCACAGTGATAGAGCAATGGGCCTGGAGTCAGGATGACCTGAGTTCAAATCCAGTCTCAGACACTTCCTAGCTGTGTGACTCTGGGCAAGTCATTTCACCCAGTTTGCCTCAGTCATCTCAGCCATCTGTAAAATGAGCTGGAGAAGGAAATGGCAAACCATTTCTTGTATCTTTGTCCAATATCTTTGTAAAGAAAACCCCAAAAGAGGTTCCAAAGAGTCAGACATGACTGAAACACTTAACAACAGAGTGCAGAAGAAAGCCATGCAGACACTACCCCCGCACTTTGATCCCTCAGTTTCCCCATCTGTAAAATGAGTATTTTAGATTAGATCATAGGACTGTAGTTCTAGAGCTAGAAGGCACTTAAGAGGCCACTGAGCCCAACCCCATCATTTTACCAATAAGGAAACTGAGGCCCAGAGGCATTCTGATGGCCTCTAAGCCCCCCTTTCTCTCTGCCTTTCTGGGCTCTCTGGGCTTAGGGCTGGTGTGATGAGATGGGGTGGGGGTGGGGCAATAGTCCCGGGCCCCTCAGGCAAGCTCCCTTCCCCCACTTGGCCCAGACTTTCCAGGCCATCTTTGGACAGGTGGCTGCCTTTCCAGGGAGGAGAAGGAGGGGGAGGGGGGCAGGCGGGAGGCGCCAGAGCCCAGCTCGACCCTCTCCCAGCTCAGCCTCATTTGCTCCAGTGTTTTCCTCCTTGATTAGCGGAAACATTCCAGCATCTGTCACGGGGAAGGAAGCTCCTTCTTCTCCCTCCTCTTCCATGCATGGAACACAAACACATTCCAGCCCCTGCCCCCTCCCTCCCCCCAACATGCCCGACTCCAAGGGACCAGGCTCTCTCTCTCTCTCTCTCTCTCTCTCTCTCTCTCTCTCTCTCTCTCTCTCTCTCTCTCTCTCTCTCTCTCCTGCTCCTGGAGCCTCATTGGGGGCAGGGGTTCAATGCACAAGCAAGAGGGGAAAGGAGTAGTGGACAAGCAGCTAGGTAGACCTGGAGACAGGAGAATTTGAGTCAGAATCTGGCTTCACACACTTCCTAGCTGTGTGACCCTGGGTAAGTCACTTAATCCCAATTGCCTCCCCAGAAAGGAGGGGAGTGAGGGAGGGTGTGGGTGACATAGAGGAGGGAAGGGCCAGGCGCTGGAGACTTAGCTGTCTGTCTTTAGCAGGAGATGTGGCTGTCACTGAGCCAGCCAGAGGCTTTTCTACTTTATCTCAACAAACCCCGAAACTGCACAGAAGTGACCTTGGAGACTAATCTAATGCCCTTCATTTCACAGGCAAGAAAGCTGAGGCTAGGAGAGCCGTGAAGTGACATCACCCTGGTAGAAGAGACAAGGGAAGTATTTGAACTCGGATCCCCTCAGACCCTCCAAAGGCAGAGTCCCTTTTATTGTTCTATAAGACAAACACATCACACCAGGGCACCCGCTGCCCAACACAGCCACGGAGATGCAGGAGACTCAGGAGACTCCGGGACTCCAAAGTAGTTGTGACTGGACACACATACCCAAACATTGTGCAGTCAATCAACAAACACTGACTATGCTCTGAGTCAGGCACTAGGCTAAGCCTGGGGATACAAAGAGAGACTTTCAAAAGTAGTCCCTCACCTCAAGGAGCTTGCTTTTTTTTTTTTAACAAGGTGGGCAAGAAGCAAACAATTAGGTCCTTAGGTGAGATGTGAAGAAGAGATCAAAGGTCATCTCAGAGGGGAACATAAGATTTGGACCTTGATACTATTTACTATGGGTATGACCTTGGGAAAGTCATTTCTCTAGGGCTGCACTCCCTGACACTCATCCTTCCTGTCCATGCCATGAAACAGGATAATCTGGGCTTGTTTCTTCTCCCTACATTTGGCAGCTGTGTGACCATTCTTCACCTTTCTGGGCCTCAGTTTCCCCATGTGTAAAAAAAAGGGTGTGTGTGTGTGTGTGTGTGTGTGTGTGTGTGTGTGTGTGTGTTGGGGGGAACTGGATCATGTCCAAAGTCCCTCCTATGATAAATGGATTGGATACATACTATTGCACAATGATAGACCCATGGGCCAGCAACTGATACACACACACACACACACACACACACACACACACACACACCACAGAGTCGAGAGAGAGAGAGAGAGAGAGAGAGAGAGAGAGAGAGAGAGAGAGAGAGAGAGAGAGAGATGGATGGGTACACCCTGACAAGCACACAGATACAAAAGTGTACTCTTTCAGGAAGGCAACCACGAGGCTGAGGGGTCTGGACACCTTGACCTGTGGATCTGAGGATGATGTTTAGTTTTGAGAAGAAAAGCCTGGGGCAGGGGGAGGAGAGCATTATAGCATCTTACAGCATGTTTGAAAAGCTCTCTTGTGGAGGGCTTGGCCCCAGAGAGCAGAGCTAGAAGCAATAGGCACGCCTTGGAAGAGAGGCAGATTTAGGCTCGATTTCAGAAAAAGCGAACACAAACTTCCTAACAATTAAAGCTCTCCTGAAATGAGAGAGGATCCTCGTATGGAGTGCTGCTTTTTCTTCCCCCCCCCCACGCCCCACCCATTTAGTAGCTGTATGACCTTAGGCAAGGCGTTTTCCCTCAGTTTCCCCATCTGTAAAATGAAGAGCTGCCCCAAAGTCGGAGGGGCCGCCTCGGTAGGGAGCGAGGTCCTCATCCTCACCCCGCAAAGGCTGGGTGAGCCCCTGTCAGAACCCAGAGTGGGGGAGGGTCTTCTCCAGAGAATCGTGAAACACCCCTCCGCCACTCAGATTCCCGGAGCTCAGTGACTAGGGGACGAACGCCCACAGGCGCACACTAACAGATCTCAAATCAGCTACACTCAGCGGGACACGTGAATGCAAGCGATCAGTGGCTCAGCCAGCTTTCAGTAAGTTTCTCCCTTCGGGCCGGCCTGGGAGCTCCGCACCCGGCCCGAAGAATGGATGAAATTGTCCCTGCCCCCAAGGGCTTTCTATTGTAATCCGGGGATCCTAGACTCTCACTGGTGGAGGAAGACACCGCCACAGAGACACATGTGAGCGCACGTGGACACGCCGAGAGGCCACATAGACACATGCTGTCGCATGCCCCTGTGTGTCCCCCCACCCCAGCCACGCCAGGGCTGGGTCCCCTCCGGAGCAGCAAGCGCTATGTAGCATCCTGAAGCCTCAGCGGGTGTTTATCTAAGGCTGGCTCTTCCAGGAGCTCAGACGTGATCTCATCCTGTCCTCCTCACCACAAGCGGCTCTCAGCCCTGCCCGCCTCACTCCTTTCTGCTCCCCCACCGGTCCTCCCCCAGGCAGGTGCGCCTCCCTCCTGGAGGCCTGCCGGAGAAAGTCCACCCCTCCCCCAGTCTAGCCCGGCCCCAATCTCCGACCGCATCTCCTCCTGCTCCCCGCTGTGGTCCCGAGGCATCCTGTCCACGCCCTCCGATGGTTCCTCCTTATGTCAAATCTCATTCATCCTTCAAGGATCAGAGCTGGTCCCACCTTTTCCAAGAAGGTTTTGGACTGCGGCTGTTCCACACCAATGGTTTTCATTCCCTCAGAACTTTCCGGTCTGTAGATAAGGACCATTTACTTGATAGAGAGAAGAGGGAGGAGGAGGAGGAGGAGGATGAGAAAGGAAGGAAGAAGAAAAAAAAGAGAGAAAGAGGAGAGAGGGAAGAATGAAGAGAAATTAGGAGGAGAGTCAGCTGATAAGCAATTATTAAATGACTACTATACGCCAGGCACTTTGCTAAAAGCTGGGGTTACAAAAAGAGGCAAAAGACACTCCCTGCCCTCAAGGAGCTTACCATCTAACCCGGCAGACAGCACGCAAACAAATATGTGCAAAGCAAGCTTTACACAGGATAAAGAGGAAATAATTAACCGAAGGAAGGCACTAGGAGGTTGGACTGGGTGGTCTCTGCAACTCCCTTCTAGATCTGGGATCCCAGGAGCTGCCTGCAAGAAACTCTCAGAGGCCATCTGGTCCAACACTCTCATTTTACAGGTGAGGAAACTGAGGCCCAGTGAGCGGAAGTCACTTGGGTAAGAGCAGTTACCGAACCACTTTGCGACTTCCACCTCTGTCCAATGAAGGGACTGGACCTCTTGGCCCTAAGGGCCTTTCCCACTCTCAGTTCTGTGAAACAGAAACCAAGGGACACATTTAAATATGAAAAACAAACAGGTGTATGAGGGAGTCACAAGGTCCAGGGAGAAAAAGGAATAGGTTTTTGCAGGTCTATGAAAAGCCATCACTTTCTGGAAGCTCCCCTTTTATTAATTCAGCCCAAGACCAGAGCAACTTTTTTGGTTACTGTATCATGTTATTGACGCACATTAAGCTTGTAGTCCACTAATACCCTCAGATCTTTTTCACACAAAATATCTCATCCTCTCCATTCTGCATTTGTACTATTGGGGTTGTTGCCTTTTTAACCCAGTTTGTAGAACTTTACAATTATCTATACTCACTTTCCTCTTCTTAGGGCCAGCCATTGTTTTTAGCTCTTCCAAACCTTGGACAATCACTTCTCACCCCATCATTGTGGGGAGTGCTGGGTGGCCAATTCCTGATTTCTAGATGATCTTGAGTGGAATAGCAGCTGTGACCCAGATATCAAGCTATATAGCACCTTCAGGAGGTCATCTGAAGGGCAAGTAGTTATCCCCACATTTCTGGCTTCCTTACATTGACTCTAGGCTGGGACTGAGCTGGACTCAAAACCCTGCCTTCCCCGGGAAATGGGAGGAGGTGAGGTGGCTTCCTTGGGGCCACACGCCTTGGGAGTGCTGCATTTAATGTATTTTCTCGACATCACAATGCCTTCTATTTTAGGTTTGAATTGTTCTGGTTATGATATGAAGTCCTGTGATAAGTCCTGACTAGCCTAAGGGAGGGGATTCAGTGGGTGGGGGCTCTGACCCTCATTAGGAATAGTTTCAATCAAACACGAGAAGATTCCTAGAACAGAGGTTTGGGCCATTCACATTTGTATGAGCTGGGAGACTGGAAGATGTGGAAGGATGAGAATTACTCATTAGAAAATAGTATTTCAAAGTTCTAGATCTCAAAGGCAGTGAAGTTTTGAGTGTTGGTAAGGCCTGGGATGTGACCAGGCTAGGATGTGGCTGAGACATGGAGGAGAAAGCCCTTCTTACCGAGAAAACTGAGAACTAGAAAGGCCTCAGTATCGGAGGGGTAATTGACATAAATACTGATAGTTTTAGAGATGAGGATGATGATGATAATAATAATAATAACTGGCATTTATAGAGTACTTTAAGATTTGCAAAGTACTTCACACATATTATCTCACTGGATTCCACAACAATCCTGTAAGCAGGTGCTATGATAATAGCACCTATTTTACAGATGAGGAAACTGAGGCTGAGAAAAGTTAAATAACTTGACCAGTGTCACAAAGCCAGTAGGAGTCTGAGGCCAGTTTCAACTCAGGTGTTCCTGACTCCTGGTCCAAATGTTTTAAAGAAGAAAACCATAAACTCTGTATACGTTTGGACTCTGTCTTTAGATGGCTGTGAGACCCTGGACAAGTCTGAGCCTCAGTTTCTTCATCTGTAAAATAAAAAAGCATTTTTCAGAAAATTCTACGATGCTATGATTAACATCAGCCAGTGGGAACCAGGTTATTCCTGTTTAAAGAATATGATGCCTACAGGGAGGGGGTCCTTCTTTCCTGTTTCCCCACCCCCCTACCTATGATTCCTGCCTCCATAACTTCATTATCTCCCCACCCCCTTTTCCAAAGGCAAATTAAAGGACAAGCAGGAATGGAAGGGACCTACAGTGTCCCAATACCGAAAACAGCAGCTTCTTCCCTCCCCACTACCAAAAATTAATTAATATGCTCTAAAAAGACAAGGCTCAGAACCATAGGCTTTAGAGCTGGGACCAATCTTAGAAGTAATGTAGTCATTCATTATTTTGTGGACAAGACCTCGGAGACTCAGAGGGAGAAGTAACTTAGCCGAGGTCAATGCCATTCAATTTCCCATCTATTAAGGACCTATGATGCGGGCCGAGTGCCTGGGAGCCAGAAGCAGAGATCACAGAGATGAGACTCAAGAGCGAGTCTCCTGGTTCCATCTTAGAGCATTCTGAGGCTGCATGTCGAGAAGCAAAGATAGGTATGTACGTGCATGTCATACCTAGGTGTGTTCATATGTCTGTCAGAAGAGACTCTTAGGAGCTATAAGGAAAATGGAGACATGGTGGAAGAGATAGAGAGCTCGCCTCAAAGCCAGAAAAGCCTGGGTTCCAGTGAGTCCTGTTTGTGAGACCTGGGCAAGTCCCTTTAACTTCAAAGTTCTTAGAACAGAGGTCTGGACAGGCAGCCTACCCCACTCCTAAGTGTGTCCTGAACCAGATTCAAATGTGATTCTCATAAGATTTTAATGTGTTGATGCATTAATAAAATAATAAATGATATAGTAATAAAATAAAAAATTACCTGTATTAATGAATATATTAATGTATGTATTAATAAAAAGAATTATATAA